TTGTCCCCCATGCTTGTCCCACATGCTTTGTCCCCCATGCTTTGTCCCCCATGCTTGTCCCCCACTCACAAACTCCATACCACTCTCCCTACCCATTAAAAACAGGAATTCCTTTCTTCAAAAAAGGAAGAGAGAACAGAGAATCGGACCCCCTCCCTAAAATAAAGGAGCAACACCCACACAACCGGGACCCAAGGATTTTCGGGCTACTATTGCTTCGTTCATGTGCGCCGCTGCCAGGGGACTCTAAATTTTCAATTGATCCTTCCCATTTCCACCTTGCCTCACGTGTTAGTTTCTAGAAAAAAGGAGAACAAGAAATAGATCTGGGCAAAGGGACAAAACAGGCGTGGATTTTGGAAAAAGCAAAAGGGGAGAGACGAGAAGGAGAGGTTCACAGAAAAGATTTTGATTTCTTTGTTCAAATTTCATCTAAGCTACTGTCATTTCTAATTTCAATGTACTTGGAGTAATTTTTACTCATGGAGTTTATTTGAGGTATTTGGAGGCTGAGTTTGAGGTCTATCCGATTTCGAGCCTTCTGGTGCCAATTCGAGGTTGCCAACGGGGCTTGCGGTCCAAGCTCCTGCTACTGTTTCGTTTTTCTGTCAGATTTAGTTCGACGGAGTTTGCTGTAACCGAGTTCTTGTTAATATTATTGAGGTCCGATCCTAAACTCTTCCTTTTTTTTTACATTTCTCATGTGAATGTTTTGCGTTTGTTTCATCTTGTTTTTAGTTCTTGTTATGTGTATGATTTGCATTCTCAATTTCATATTTGTTTGAGCAGTTCTTTGTTTTAAATTTTTAATTATAAGAAAATATTTGAATTCACGTTAGGCAAATACCAATATGTGTTGAAGAACAAAATGCTTAACATGTGAATGAGTCTCAAAGTCAAAAGAGTTTTTCCTTTAAAGAATAGGGTGATATTATGTATTAATTACTTTTTTCCAGTACTCATCATTTAAACTCATATTTGTTCCAGATTTACTTGAATAACTTTATTTATTTGGTAGCTTTTTGGTTTGTTAATGAGTGGGTGCAGCATTGATTCATGAATTGAAAAGATAAACATTAGAATTCTGGCCTTATGGGTTGTGTACGGTTGGGTAACGAGAATTGGGAACTTAAATGATTTATTGCTTTCGTTTACTGTTTTATCAATTGTTATATTTCACTAGTTTAGTAATTGAAAACAGTCTCAAGAGGTAGAATATTAGCAATTCATTAAGTTGTAAATATTTCTAATAACTTAGTTATATAATTGAATCTCATGATTTCTTTAGTTAAATCTAATCCATAACTTTTGGCCCTAGAATAATATCAAATCTCAGGAAATAAACAATCCAAGAACATCGTTAGAGTGTTTTAGGTGCGCTTTTAATTAATTTATCGCGATTATGTATACCTTCGCGTGGCATATTGTGATTTTTAAAATTAAAACCGAACTATGTGTTCGCGCAACTTTGGTCAAAACAATCTTAATATAATAAAATGTTATTAATTGTGTACACGTATCGTTACATGATTTTGGCACAGTGAACAAAACGGATTCACACACGTGATTCGTTTCAAATATAGTTCCATATTTTAATAATTAAAAGCGGATAGATAAAACATGGAAACCAATAAATCACAGTTTATCCAAAATTAATTTAAGCCAAGTTTAAGTCAATAAAGCAACCGTGCTAGAACCACGGGACTCGGGAATGCCTTATACCTTCCCCCCGGTCAACAGAATTCCTTACCCGGACTTTGTTTTCGCAGACCAATAATAATAGAGTCAAACATTCCTTTGACTAGGGATTCAAATAAAAGGTGACTTGGAACACCCAAAAAATCAATTCCGAGTGGCGACTCTGTAAACAAAATAATCCCTAATCAAGTCTTGTCACTTTAATTGGAAAAACTCTTTAACCCACCATCCATAATACACATTTATCGTTTTGGGGGGCATAAAGGGGTGTGACAAGCCTAAATTTTTAAAAGAATATTATGATATATATTTTTATTTGAAGTCTATTTTTCTAACTTTTTGAGATGCAAAGTTGTTAATAATTATTTTATAATCGATTTCCTCTAGTAATTCCTTTTCAATCGATAGTATAGCCAACTTATTTAATTTTTCTTGAGATATTGTTGATCTTAGTTAAGTTTTTATCAATTATAATTTGAAAAACTTATTTTTTGTGAGGCAATTATTATAAAAAAAAACTCTACTTTTGTGTTAAAAATATTAAATTATTTTTTTAAAGACCTATAAATATATTATTTTTAAAAAATGGGGCCCCCCAAATTTGGGGGCCTAAAGCATAAACCTTACTTGTGATAACCTTAAAGTCGGCCCTGAGTGGAGAGGTGATTGTGGAGCTTTTTGGTCTCGAGACCAAGACTCCTTACAACTCGTACCAATAGTGGCACTGAGCGGCCAAAGATTGATTGAAATGGTAGGCCCAGCCGGCCCTCTCCCCCTAACCGCCTATTTGCTCGTGTTCGCAGCTCGATCAGAGGTGAAAAACTGTGGTCCGGCAAAAAGCAGAAGTCGTCCGTATATGGTGGAGAGGGAGAGTCAATGGTAGAGTGGCTGCTAAGGTTTTGAATAAAAAGTAATATCAAAAGAGGAATAAGATAACAAGAATTTAAACATAATCCCTTGTTTTGGAAAGAGTTATAGAATAAATGGGTTACTATTAAATAGTATTTTGTTTAATTATGCTACAATTGTAATAAAATATGCTATTATTGAAACAATCCAAAAATGGTGATATTAATATAAATACATTTTAATAAGAGTCCTACCTGGTAAAAATCTTCCAAAAAAAGAAGAAGAAGCCTACATGCCTTTGATCTAGTGGTGAGAGCACAACGCATAATGTGTTGTATTGAACTCTCCCCTATATGAAAATATGGTATTAAGTGGAAATGGTAAAAGGATAAACTCATTATTCCTCGAGTTTTGAACTCTGTGACGCTTGCCTCAAGGATTTCTTAATTAAAAAAAGACACAAAACAACTTATTTTCTTATATATGAATAAATCAAATGTGACAAAAAAGAATAGCTGATTTAGAGACTCTGAGATTAAAAAAATAAACTCGTGAGAAACATGAAAAAGATTATACATAGAAAAAGAAAAATAGAATTAATGAGAAAATAAATATATTGTTTAACTTAATGAGAGAGAAAAAATTATCGTAATAACTTAATCCTACCTCTACTAAATTTAAACAGTTTTTAAAATTTAAAATCTTTTCCGAATAATTACATATAAATATAAATTATATTAATTATATAATATACAGTAGTATTTTTGGGCCTAGGGCAAGGGCTTCACCTGCTTACCCTAGAGCAGCCCTTGGATTTTCCTAATTCCAACCAAATTGGCGTAATTGTTTTTTGTTTTTTCAGTTGCACATGTTATTACCATTTTTGGAAATAAGTCTAAAAACATTCTCGAAATTACAGTCCCATTCCAAATTTTCCTAATTCCAACCAAATTGCCGTTACTTGCACTTGTTATTAAAATCTTAGAAATTAGTCTACCAATCCATCTCTAATTAGGATTAGTTCATGTATTATAAAAGTACACCACCCCTCTCATTAAAATAACTTCCCTGTGCTACAACCATGGCTTACTCAAAAATGCTAGCGTTTTGCTTCTTTTTTTCCCTATTCTTCATCTCTTCTGCTCAAACCAACTGCTCCGACTTCCAATTCCATGACAAGTCGTTTGATTCATGCTCAAATCTTCACACTTTAAACTCTTTTATTCATTGGAATTTCTACCAGCCTTCTCGTACTGTTGAAATCGCCTTTAGAAGGTCCGAAAAGGTGCATGGAAGATGGCTTGCTTGGGCTATAAACCCTACATCCACAGGGATGGTTGGCTCACAAGCTTTTGTGGCATTGCAACATTCTGATGGTACTCCTGAAGCATACACATCACCTATTAACACCTATGGAACTATGCTCGAAAAGGGTGACTTGAGTTTAAGGGTTTACGACGTTTCAGCTCAGAATATCAATGGAGAAGTTATCATCTTTGCCAAGTTTGAGATTCCTACCAATGGAAGTACTGTTGTGAATCATGTATGGCAAGAAGGACCATTACAAGATGATAAACCAAGAATTCATGACTTGTCAGGAGATAACGTGAAGTCTTTTGGAACTTTGGATTTCCATTCAGGGAAAACTATGGCTACAAAATTAAAATCAAGTTCAAGGTCTAAGCTTAAGATTGCTCATGGGATTATCAATGGTGTTAGTTGGGGTATGTTAATGCCACTAGGTGTTGTTCTTGCTAGATTGAGATATTTACCTTTGACAGATCCTTTGTGGTTTCATCTACATATTTATTGTCAAATTTTGGCTTATTTTCTTGGTATTACTGGTGGAAGTTTGGGATTTGTACTTGGGAGGAAATCTTCTGGAGTGAAAATTAAACACACTTCTCATAGGTATATTGGTGGTGCACTTTTAGGGCTTGCAACATTACAAGTTTTAGCTCGATGGTTGAGGCCCAAACCAGATCACAAATATAGGGTATATTGGAATTTTTACCATTGGTGTACTGGTTATGCTACTATTATATTGGGAATTGTCAATTGTTTCAAGGGTTTTCAGATGATGGATGTGGGAATTTGGAAGAATGCTTACATTGGTTTTCTTGCTTCGTTGGGTTTTGTTGCTGTTATTCTTGAAGTTCTGAGATGGTTCTTGAAGGCTAAAAAAGACACAGAAGAAACTGCAGTGGGAGCTTAATTTTCCAAACTTTATGGAACAAAAAGTGTAGAATTGTAACGAATTATAAATCAGAATGTTTAATTTCATAGGCGTATAATTTTTGTAGCTCAAATTTAATGTATGTTACATGCTCAAGGGATTATACTAGATGTACTAGTTTTACAATATTTCTTCTATTATGTCTGTCCTTTTAACTACTACTATTTTTAATTAAAAAATCATGATTTATTTAGGACTAAAACGGAAAGCAGAATTTCATAAAATGCATCTGTCTGAAAAAATTTATGACTACAGCAAATATTAAAAAGTTCATGTAAGACTAAAAAGTAGGAGTTTCACGTATGAATGTCCTTGGTATGTTAGAGACAATTGGCATATGATGCTATTTTTCTTATATACCTTGTTCAAATACTAATGAACACGCATATTTCTGACTAGTATTTAAATTACAACGAATCACTATACACGATTTATACAAATAGAAAACAAGGAGCCAGCTTTCAATCCACAGTTCCCTGTTTTCTGGAATGGATAAATTCACTCATTCACCAATTCATATGGCCATTTGTAAGAGACAAAAACCCCGTCTTGTTTTATTCTAGTTCAAAGTTCAAACAGGCACTGAGCCATGTCAGTGGTGAAATTTCAAAGATATATGAAAAGCCTGTAGAAACAAATAAGATGAGGGAATTTTTTAGGATTGCAAAGTTGGGGTTGAGAAAATCCAAGTCCTACAGGCATCTTTTATTTCTGTCATCTGAACTCACAAAAAGTTTTTTTTGTTCCTGAAAAAATTACTGTAGTACATGTTCTTTTCGTGGATGAGGGAACTCCCCCTAAGGATGCAGACAAGTTCATTCATTCAGAGAAGCAAATTCAAGGAATTTTATGAACTTCTGAATGTCCCCCCATTAAAACATAACAAGCCTCATGGCATTTATTCCAGTGAAAAATATATCCAGATCGGTTTTTCACTTTTTCTTTTTCCCTTTATATGCAAATTGGTTCGAATCATTCAAAAGCACGCAATACCAGACAAAAATAAAGATGAAAAGAAAAACGAAAGTAAGGAGAGGTCCTTTATTTTACTATATTTTTATTCTTCATTTCTGTTTTATATTTGCAAGGACGGGAGAGAGTTTGGTGCTGCAACCAGAATAGCATCAACCCTTGACATGGTATAACGTGAAACATCATACCAAATGCATAATAAAGTTCATCTCAGCATACCTTGGGGTTCCTATGAAATCTACGTGTAATCAGCAACCTGAAGTTCACTGGACCAATCCCTTGTGCTCCTTAGGGCTCTAGCTTTATTATCTCTTATTTCTAGGACCTGATAAAAAAACAAGAAGTGGGAGATTTCTAAGTATAAAGGGCGCATACATCTGTATAAGGAGCCATACAATCAAGCTAGCAAACATGACTATGAAATGGTAATAAACCTAGACATAGTAGCCTCCTAGAAGTGGCATCAACAGTGAATGCGAGTTGTTATATTTTCTCATTTAATACTGGAATTATAATAGTGCTTGGGCCAGAAAGGAAATTACCTCAGGGCTCGAGCCAAGTACTCCACTAGACATTCCCACATCAATTCGCCATATGCTACAGTTGTATTTGCTGCAGGGAAACCAAGATCAATCATCTACGTGGCCTAAAGAGATGCTGATCTGTAAAGATAGTTCTTTCTTTGAGCTAAAAATTGATTCCTAAAGTTAACTGTTGGTTGTAATATTTATATCTAACACAAAAAGTTCATCTTAGTATCACTTTAAGAAAATAACAGATCGTATAAAGATCCTCTACCAATTCACCCCCATAGGTTGAGGAGTATGCCCTACAACCATCGCTTTGGCACCCACAGTTTGCAGTGTCTCTTCAAGAAGAGATTGGATCTGATCATGAAAAAAGCGGTAAGTTGAAAATTAGCATCACCTAAATAATCAAGTCAATAAGATCACAAATTAAACTTGATTTATTTCAACATTGGAAGAGATCAATATGCAAAAGGGCTAGAAAATACAGCTTTGAAAGAACTAATCGACAAAAAAGATCCACGGATTCAGTGAAACCCAGAATAATGCTTGCTGAATGTGCATAGAGGAAAATGCCTATAACCTGCTCGATCTGGTAGTCTTCCAGATCTGAATCTCTGGAGTACAAACGGTTCCACACGATACTATCATAGCCCCTGGTGGCTATGAAAGGCATCTGCGGAGAATCGTCAGCTTCACTCGGACCTTTCATCCATTGAGATACTTCTCTATTCAATCTCTCTAAACCATAGGCAACTGCAGCAACAGCAGCATTAATAATCAATATACAAGAATCTTTTTACATGTATCCTAATAAATCAGAATACTGGGTAGCAGATTAGCTTATTACCATGATGAGGAAGAAGGCCACCATGGCAGAAGAGCCAATCATCAACCTTAAGAACAACACCATGACGTGCCAACTCACATGCCAATGGACCTCCGGGTCTCATGAGGATTGATCTTGCAATTACACCCTTTTGCCGCTGTCCTAATATTTGGACGACTTAATAAGCATAGAAAATGTCAAGCACCAAACCATATGGAAAAAGCAACAAATGTTTCTTATGAATTCTAAAAGGGGTAACTATCTTAAAATATCTGCTTAAAAATTATATAGTTATCACTTTCAACGTGTTTCTTATCAACCCCGCTGATTGCAAATGGACTGCTTGCTAATCTCAATACTAGTGTAAACGGTATGCTTTTACTTCACAGCAATAAGGTGGTACTTTCTGTTTACCCACAATATAATGTTTTTTTCTTTTTATAATTCAAAACTAAAATGCTTCTGATGCCAATATATTTATTTGCCCGGCCACTCAAATGTAAGTAACTTCCAAACCTCCCATTAGCCATGAGACTAAGACCTTGATCTTAATAGAAACCTTGATCTTAATAGAACACACCTTTACCAAATTCCATGGAGCCCAATAATTTTGAGACACCTTCCGATCTTGTTTCCATCTGCCAGACACAGCACACCAACTGACAAAAGCTTCTTCCCAGTTGTGTTCACATTCCTCCAAGTAATCCAGAAAGTCTATACACTCGTCAAGTCCCCCATTGTCAACATATCTGAAGTCCCCCTCTACATTCATAGTTTCATGATTTCCATTGACCTATAATAACCATTCAGAACATGAAGAAAACAGATATGGTTGGAAGCAAATAACCATGCAAATCTCCAAAGTAGTTGTAAAATTGAACAGTACAAAACGATTAGCATTACCCTGTTTAAATAATAACGATGTACAGATTAGCAGTCAGCTACAATCAAGATACTTGTAGATGTAGCTGAAAAAACACAGACCTGGAAAACTGCTCCACCATGAGCTTTTGCTTGGATGTCTAGTGACTTCAACAATGATAAAATTGCAAGTTCATCTTCACCTCGGTCAAGTATATCTCCAAGCTGAATCAACACCTGGTAAAAAGAAACTTGTTATATTTTTATAAGCTAATAGATGCAGGGGCGTATCCAGCCTTAAGGTACCGGTTCATCTCCCCGTACTTTTGACGCGGAGCATAATTTATGTGTAAAAATTTATTAAAATTGCAACAGTAGATATGAACCCATAACTTTAAAATATAATAGGTCGAATGCTAAAAACTTAGAGATTGAACCCAGAGAGTTTAAATCCTGGATCCGCTTCTGATTATAGATGCCTTAGAACGAGTTCATAAATCTAAACAAAACGTAGAATGCATTTAATATCCTCCAAGCTAGAAATGTGATGGCAAATTAAAAGCTTACCGTCTCACCGCCAATCCAGAAATCTTGACCATCAGAACTCAGCACACCAGCCGTCTCAAGTGCACCTCTTGCCTTGTCAAGATCTCCATGCAAATCTCCGACTAAAATTCACCTCAAATAAGAGACAAATAAATACACAGAAAGAAAGACTGCAGAAACAGTCGGGCCAAAAAAAAATAAATAGCAGAACTGAGAATTTCATTATGCCCAATTACAATAACGAAACAATTCACTAAAGGAAGATAAGAACTAACAATTTAGAGAAACAATCAAAATAATCTATATAGCAAAAGAATGCCCTAACTTTCTTTATATTTACATTTTGCCTCTCAATTTATGTGAAAACTTATTACACGACAACTTTAAATCTCAGTTCCAATTCAATAACTGCAATTAGACTAGTCACACTACCCAGATGTTGTTCTTCAGAAAACCAAAAGCAAAATTGAAACTAACCCGCGACAATTCGACGACCCGGAGCTGAAACGAAAGTGTGCGGGTCCCCATTTACTACAATGGGTTTTAAGCTTCCATAGCTATTAGTACTGCTACTGCTATACTGAGCTGGAGTTGAAACAATCGTATCAACCAATTTGCGGGACTGTGATTGTGAAGAAGCAGAAGGTGGTTGAAGTGGTAAAGAACATGTTAGTGCAACAGTAGCCATTGATTGAATAACACAAGTCAGTAGTTGTGAATATTTTTGCCTTTTGTGTTTTCAATTGTTATTGGTCACTCAAGTCAGTATTTTGTCCAAATATTTTTTGCACACTATATTGTAACTGGTCTACCTTGCAATAACAACCATGAATAATTGGGCACTCCGAAAAAAGAGGAGCTGTCTTAGCCACATGTTTCGTGACATTGTCATTTTTTACTAGAACTAGTATCTTTTTCTTTTCTAATTCTGAGTCACCTGCCGGTTAGGGTTACACATTCATCCTCAATGAGAGGTTATCCCCTATGTGAAATTTTTATCCCCTATGTGAAATTTTCTAGCGCACATCTGGATTTAGTCGGGTACTGAATACTGAGTAAGAAACCCAAAAAAAAAAAAAAAAATTGAGTCACCAAAAGATTCTTCAAATAAAAAAAGGTTTAAGTTTTATAGCGGATAATTTCACAAGTGATTATTGAACTTTAATTTCACTTGGATTAATTTCACCATGATTACCGAACAGTTGTTCCAATAAAGTCGCAAAATTATTTCTTGTATCATTAAAGTTATTGTACTTTTTTTGTTATATAAGTAAAATCATAAAACTATTTTTTTTGTATCATTAAAGTCTTGAGCTTTACTCGTTGTATTAGTAAACTCACAAAACTATTTTGTATCTATCAGCCTAAAGGATTTTATGTTTTAGTTTTTAGGTTTAGTTAAATGTTGTCGCTGTCACCTAAAGTGACTTAATCTCTATTATGACCCAAAGAAAATCTAATAAATATAAGCTCAGCCAAGAAAGATTTTAAAGAAAGAGAGAAATGTGATGACAATAAAATTGTTCAATACTTCTCTCTGATGCTGAACATTAATCATAGACAATAGAATTCCAGACTTTACTTAATAAAGCAAAGGCAAAATCCTGATAGCTCACACTTGAAAAAACAATAAACAGACACACTAAGAACTACTTAATTTTAAGACAACAATAACATGGACAATTTGCTACAATTTCAACATCTTAGCATTGTGGTAGATCTGGTGGAGGTGGCTCCATTGTCTGTTTCTCTCCTATTCCATTCTCGACGATGAACGCCATCCCTAGCCCCCAAGCCAAATGAGAATCAATGTGGCAATGGAACAACCAAAGCCCTGTAACAAATACATAAACTGATCAAACTTTCTGAATATGTACACAAAATTTCAACTTGGAACATTTTTTAGTGACATTTTTATGATTAGGATCAGGTTCTTACCTGGATTATCTGCCACGAAACGAATGACTGCCCATCCACCAACAGGCACATCGATTGTGTTCCTGACAGGCGGATCAATTAGGTTAAATGTAGTAGTATCCGTCTGAGGATTGAAGTTACCAAAACCTTGTCCAACGACCCAAAAATGATATCCGTGAAGATGTATAGGGTGATCCTCTGTTGAAAAGATAGCAGTATCCTGCAATACAATTTGTACAGTAGAACCAAACTTGATCTTGTGCAACTTAGTTCCAAATCTTGGTTGCCAAAGTCCTCGTGAAACATTGCCCGTGTAGTCAAATTGCACAGTTGGAACAGGAGGAAAATCCAATGTATAAATCCCTGGAATGTTTTGGTAATAAGCCTGGAGCAATGAAGTTCTTCTAGGAAGAACAAATGAAATATTATTCATGCTGGCAGCAAACCGCGTATTATTAGGCCCTTGACATCTAGGACCAGGAGCGCAATTCACTAAGCCAAGTCCAACAGTGAAAAACAAGTTCTCATCAATCTGAGTGGGAACTCTAACATTGTTACTAGGAATGCTCCTCAATTGGCTAGTGAAAGCAGTCGCGGTAGCTGTATCGTTGAAAGCTGGAAGCTGAGGCAATGAAGGTCTTGAATTCGCTCCTGGATTGAGATTTGCGTATTCAAGGATGGCAGTGGTAGTGGTGTTGTCAAATTGCGCGTTTCTGGCAGTGGCATAGGCGCTAGCCGCCATATAGTAGCGGCCAGGGGGGCGATTAGCAGTGAGGATTACATTGGTTGTTTGACCAGGTCCAACCATAATAACATTGGTTGTAAAAGGCTTGTTGTAAGTAGCATCAACACCTACAACAGTGAGCATGTGGTTTGCAACTGAGAAGAAAAGTTGTTGATTGAGTGCAGCATTGATTACTCTCAGTAGAACAGTTTCTCCAGGGTTCACTGAGACTTTCATAGTACCTGCATTAAAATTCTGAATTAGTAATGATGAAATCTGTTATCCTCTTTTGTTTTTTCCCTTTTAAGGATAATTTTGGTTCCATATTTTGTGTTTAAGTTATATATACTAAGTACTGACAGTATAGAAAAGGTTATCAGGACTTGACCTACGACAATAGATACCTCTCTATATCAAGCCTAATATAATCTGGAAAATAAAGTAATAACATTCTACAACCTGTTAAATTTTAAAGATAAAAAGGAAAGCCCGATGCACTAAGCTCCCGCTATGCGCGGGGTACGGAAAAGGGCCGGACCACAATGGTCTATTATAAGCAGCCTTACCCTACATTTTTGTAAGAGGCTGTTTCCACGGCTCGAACCCGTGGCCTCCTGGTCATATGGCAGCAACTTTGCTAGTTACGCCAAGGCTCCCCTTCCTTAAGTTGCAAAGATAGTGTAAAAAAATCTTTTAACTGTCAGTGTATATAAAAAAAATTAAGAGGAGGCTATGTTTTGGTAAGAACCTTGGCTAGAGCATCTGTAAAGGTCACCAGGTTGACCATTAATAGTATATGCATTGGAAATATTAGGAGCTGCTCCAGTGAATTGTGCTTGTCTTTGAACTGCAATAATGTCTCTGTTCCACCATTCCCCTATGATAAAATCAAGAACTTAATTAGTCACATACTCACATTGGATTTTGATCAAAATTAAAATGAAAAGGGAAAAAAAGCTATGTTGCGCCGACTCTCCAAAAGTATTGCCTCATCCGTGTCGGATCCTTCAAAAATGCACTACTTTAGGAGGATCCGACGTGCACCCGACACCATTTTTGCAGAGTCCGAGTAACATAGGAAAAAAATAGTACCAAGAAGAATAGGGATATCTTTCTGAGGCAGTGAAAAAGGAAAATTAGAACCCTGTTTTGGTAAGATAACTAAGGCTCCATAAACAGTAGCTCTAAGCCATTTGCTGTGTGCATGCCACCACAATGTACCCTCTTGGTTTTCAATAGTGAATCTGTATGTGTAAAATCCTCCTGGTCTAATTGGGCATTGTGTTACATACTCAGGCCCATCAGCCCATGGCGTTCGCATTTGACGAATTCCATGCCTGCATGGAAATTTAAAACAGTTTAAGTTCTGTGCACTGACAATGTAAAATATTATTTGCAGTGAAGTCGTCTATAAAGTAATTACCAATGGATTGTAACGTTGTAACGAGCTCTATTAACGACAGTAACAAATAGTGTATCTCCGTTTCGAACTGTCAAAGTTGGTCCTGGGAATTGTCCATTCACTGTAATTATATTCTTGGTTCTGCATAGCCTTGTTACACTTGTTTCTTGAACCTGTCCAAAAAAAAAAAAAAAATCGTGACAATGTTGGAATTTTTTCTAGAAAATAAGAAGAAAATGTGAATGGATACTTACAATAAATTCATGGTAGTGAAATTCTGCATTTGCAAAAGAAGACAGTAGAGATAGTATAGCTATAATTGTTGCCAAGAGGCCATTGGACAATGGAATCTTGAGATAATTTTTACAAGTCTCCATTTCTCTTCTTTTTCTGACTTTGTTTTAGTGAATTCTTGGAAGTTGTAATATTCTGTTTAGAAGACTTAATGAAGTTGTGATGCTGTGGTTAGTGGACTTAACGAAGTGGTCTATTTATAATGCTATGGGGAGGGAATCTAAAGCTTGGTTTACTCTTCAAGAAAAATAAAAAATTAAGGGATTTTGGAAAGTTTTAGGCAACTTAGTCCAACTACATGGAGGGGTTGGTGCACCCACTTGCAATTCTTAATCTAATAAACTAATATCATTTCTTCTTACATATTAGTAGTAAATTCAGTTAATAACGGTTTCTACTTTTTTTGTTCTTTCAAAATTTCCTGAGTTTCCTCATGATGGAAAATATCCTGAAAACATTTTCGGTTGTGTGGTATAACGGAAGTTATTTTCTAGAAAAATATTTTCTATGAAGAAGTTTGTTGCTGATGTTTGATTAAGAAAAATGTTTTCCATCAAAAGGGGAAAAATAATTTTCCTTAATTATGGACGGGGTCATTTTTGTTTCAATTATCTTACTTTTGATTCATCACTTGCTCCAGCCAACACATAGACACTATTATTAATATTTAATAATAAAAAAATTCATCAAACGTTATCCAATTAGCTAATGTTATTGCTAATCTTTAATATATATTTTTCCGAAAAATATTTTCAATCACCAATCATACACCATATAACATTTAAATTCTAAGAATTGTTTTTTAAGAAAATTGACTTCCGTTGCAAGGTGAAATCTTACTGCTTAATGTGTGAAGTAATAGTATTTGACTGGGTGATTTTATATTAGAATCCAACGGTCAATAAAGTAGCAAGTCATCGGATTAGTTGAGGAGAAAACTTAATTCAAAACAACGTTAATCTTCCTATGGATACTGAATTAATTTATTCCGTTAAATAGGACAATTGATACATCTAATTTAAGTACGAGGAAAAATTAGAAACTGAGAGTGTACTGACGTTGAATTTTGGCTTGGTTTTGGTAGATTGAGAGAGATACTACATGGTGCCATCTATGGGCAGTGAGATATGCAAAATTTTACGCAAGCAGTATCAATTTATTGTCGCAATTTGACTTAGCTTGTACATATGTTTTCATTTTCGAGTGGTAAAATTCTAAAATTTTACTTCATGTACCAAATTGATGTTTACATATGGTTACCTTTTTCATTTGTCAAGTAAGTCTACATTAGACTTTTCAAGTGGTTGAAACTTGAAAACCTTGCAATATATTATAACAAATCTAATGGACGATATACTTTATGCTAACCTGAACAACTTCACAAATTCATAAGCTTAATTAGCTAGTACGAGGAAGTGGTTAACAAAAAGTTTTAGATTCAGCCAATCTCTTTAATTATTAAAACAAGCAACTTCACTTTCATTACATGGGTTAGGCAGCCTGCAAACTAACCACTCGTATTAGAACATATATATAGAGAAAATATTATTTCTGCTATAGTACAACTGCTTATATTTGAAGCATTTTTATTCTCCAAGAACAAGAAAAAGAAGAGAAATTGCCCGTATTAGAATGTGGTGGGATGGTTGGAATCCCTCCATTCTTAATCAGAGATTTTGAGTTAGATTCTGGAAATGAATAATTTTTTGGTCTTTTCATTAAAGTGTGTCAAAATATATAAAAGTAAACATACGAAAAAATCAAGAGGAGTTAACATATAGTATATATGCATATAAAAAAAAAGACACCCCTTGTTATAAGGTGTCTCCGCCACTAGCGGTTGCCAGTTGAGCGAATGCAATAGTTCAAAGCTCGAATATCGGATGGTTAAAAAAAAAAAGAGACAGAGAGGAGTGCAGTAGGAAAAATATAACTAAAAAAGAAAACAGAAAACCACTTGAAATTAAAAAGAGGTTACAAAACTAGTACTTAATAAATATTGCTGAGAAAGATATTATGAAAGTTTTTTATTTTATGTATTTATTCTAAAAATAGAGGAATGGCAGTGGTCATGAAATAATCAGAGATGGAGTGGTAGGCCAACTCGGTTGGATGAATAGCATCAAAATATAAGAACTGACTTGCATTTGAGCATATTGGAGTTAGATGATTACACAACCATCCAACTTCAAATAGCCCAGTCCCACAACATCCTCTCCCTACCTCCAAATATCCTGTAAACAAAAAAGAAAAATTAAAAAATTATATAAAATATATACGCTTACAGTGAAAATGAATTTTAACCCATCGTGCCTGCTACAACAAGTTAATTATACTAAAACAATTGGAGGTTTTTACACCATTAATATTATTTAACATGGTATAGCAAGGTTTTTACTTCATTTTCTAGGTGCGAAATTACTTGTAGTTATATTTTAGTGATTACGACGGCCGACGGGTAACCTTGGTGTAACTGGTAAAGTTGTTGTCATGTGCCCAGGAGATCACGGGTTCGAGCCGTGAAAACAGCCTCTTGCAGAAATGCAGGGTAAGGCTGCGTACAATATACCCTTATGGTTGTCATGTGCCCAGGAGATCACGGGTTCGAGCCGTGAAAACAGCCTCTTGCAGAAATGCAGGGTAAGGCTGCGTACAATATACCCTTATGGTTGTCATGTGCCCAGGAGATCACGGGTTCGAGCCGTGAAAACAGCCTCTTGCAGAAATGCAGGGTAAGGCTGCGTACAATATACCCTTATGGTTGTCATGTGCCCAGGAGATCACGGGTTCGAGCCGTGAAAACAGCCTCTTGCAGAAATGCAGGGTAAGGCTGCGTACAATATACCCTTATGGTCCGGTCCTTTTTCGGACCCCGCGCATAGCGGGAGTTTAGTGCACCGGACTGCCTTTTAATAGTGTAAAAACATTTATATTATCACTATCTATAAGTTAAACTTTAAATGATTGCATGTAATCAATTTCCAAGTGATCTGGAGATAGTGAAAAGCTTTTTTTACACCATTCAAGATTTTCTATCATTTAAATTTTGTAAGTATGAAGTATGAACAAATAACTCGATCAAAGAACACGCTATGCATGTAAACTTCATACATATTAATGAATAAAACTCGAACTTTTCATAAATAGAAGGAATTTTTTTTTTTTTGACGAATTGGGAAAATACCATATTTTTGAGGATTAGTATTCATGTCAATCAAAGGCTGGTATAAATCGGCATAGACAAGTTTGCTCCCAGGAAATGTGCCCTGAATTCGAGGCAATATTTCAGTAAGTTTCTGATTATAAGATTGAGCTTCTGAATTCAGGTTTTGAATACACTGACGATTAAAGCTTGATCTTGCAGTCATTTGAGCAGGTATACATCCGAGGGGAGGCAGCCCTGTTATCAGCACGTTCCGGCATCCGTTATCATACAGTCTCTGCATTTATAATAGTAATTTTTATATAATTTCTAAATATATAAATTTTGTTCTAGTGCATTAGTAAAGGTGTGATATCCAAATTCACATCGAAATCTAATCCCACTATGTATTTTGGGATGGACTAAATAGCAACAACAATAACAACCCAGTATAATCTCACTAGTGGGGTCTGGAGAGGGTAGTGTGTACGTAGACCAGGGGCGACTCAACGAAATTGGTGGCCTAAAGCCGAAAGTTAAAAAGAGGCCCAAATTTTATTTAATAAAATTGCATATATTTATGATTTTTTTTCTTTGTTGTTATTAATAATAGTTTTATGGACCGTTTTATATGTATTTTGGCCTTTCACTTGGTTACCTACTAGATTCCACCATCGAAGATATCTAGTAACTCTACTCATCAAGGTTTCAATTTTTTTTAATAAGAAATATCTGCAGTTAAGAAAACGTTTTTATAAGTTCTCAACATCTAATTATCGTAATTTTATACTATTAAAGCAGATTTTAAAATAATTTTATACATTTGTAAGAGTTCAAGTTTATTTGAATTAAAAAAAAAATGACTTGATATACTCTTTATAAGAAATAATTTACTTAAAAAGATATTACAAGAGATTTTGTTTTTATTTTTTTATTATCAATGTCATCATCAAACTGTTATTTTGCGATATTGTATGTGTATTATAAAATTCAAGTATTTATCTAAATAACCTCTATTTTTTCTAAAAAACTTTTATATCCAAAAATAAAAAAACATAAATCTAGTATCTTTTTTAATAATTNGGGGGTAAAGCAATTGCTTTAGCTGCCTCTCCCTTGAGTCGGCACTGACGCAGACCTTACCCCTACCCTGGGGTAGAGAGACTGTTTTCGATAGACACTCGGCTCCCACCCTCCAAGAACTCCCCATCTTACTTTTGGGGTGACTCGAACTCGCAACCTCTTGATTGGAAGTGGAGGGTGCTCACCACTAACCAACCCACTCTTGGGATGGACTGAATAGCATGCATGATTAAACCAGTGTATCACGTATTCAAGTGATATGGCGTGTCCAATCAAATTTTAAGGCCAATAAGACGATGTCATGTGTTCAAATAATGTGGCAAGTCTAAGCCAAAATAATGACAAAGCAAAGGTCGTTATAACAAGTAGGTTAGGAAAAAACGAAAGATATCTTACATTTTTTTTTTTTTTTTTTTGAAATATTAACAAAACAATCTTGTACAGAAAATATAAAGATCACATTTTTGTGATAATAAGTTGAAAGAGAATATTAACCTTGATAATCTCTTCAAGCCTTTGGTGCAAGAAATCATGATAGCCACTTAGGCCAAGTTCAAGCCGTCTTAGGAATCCATTATTCAAACTTAAAGCAATGTCATTACTTCCAGCCATAATTAGAACTAGAGCATCCTTAATTATGTCCAAAGCCTCCTTTTCTCCTACAACCCCCTTTAATTTTTCAATGAACTTCTTGAAGTTCTCCACTTGTGTGAAAATTGGAATTCCCTGAGTTTTAACGTTTGTCAAATCATCAAATCCTGCACCTTTGAATCCAAAATCTAAATTTAATAAGTTCATCCTTTAAAGCTCTAAGGACTAAACTTATTACTCCCTCTAGTCCACTTTAATTGATTTTTTGTCTTTTTTTGTGATCCACAATATTTGATTTTTCCAGATATCAAGAAGAATTAACTTTTTTTTTCAAAGTATTTTCAATGAACAAATTAAGGTAATATGATCAATTTTATTATTTAATCAATGTTAAAAGGTGGATTCATTAATATGTGTGAAAACAACCAAAAAATCAATTAAAGTAGACCGGATGGAGTAATACTTTTAAAATTACGAGTTTAGAATTTAATGTTTATTAAAATTTAAGTGGTTCAATACCTGCAGAAGCAAAACTAACACCCGTTTTGAGCTCACTGACCGGTAAATTGGGATCAAGAAAAGGAGGAATAGTGTCCTTGATTCCTAGAGAAAAGGCTAAGAAATCTGAAACAAGTTTTCCATTGGAAAATCTCCCAGTTGGGACTTGATTAGGAAAAGATTGTCCATAGGGTGGGTGATTGGCTTGAAATAGAGTTAGAATAAAGTTGTTATTGCCAGAATCTAGCAATGAATCTCCAAAGGCAAAAATAGCAGGAAATTTTGGTATGTGGGCAGTGCAAGTACTTGAGAAAATACATAAAAGTTGTAGAATTAAAAGAAGGGAATTTGCCATTGAGAAGTCATTCTTTTTTGGATTAATGAAACTCTCAGCATTTATGCTGAAACAGGTGAATTCAAGCTTTTAATGAAATTAAGGAAACCATAACTTACATTTTTTGGTAATTACTTTGATTCAATAGATTAATTAATGCAGTAATTGATCAATTGAGATAAGTTATGGTCTTGAGATTTAATTTCATTTGACATTAATTACAGATATGACCTTTTACTCGTCCTTTGTATTATATGTAAACCTTGCGATCAGTTTAATTTATGTTACCACTATCCCAGAAATACAACAACAACAACGACCCAGTAAAATTTCAGTTGTGGGGTATGGGGAGGTGTAACGATCCGACTAATCGTTTTGAGCAATTGCGTCCGGCTCGGCAATTTGATGTTACGAGTAGCTTCACACAGCGTATTATGACTTGCGTACATCATCGGTTCGGGTTTTTGAGAGGTTCGGAAAGGATTTTTAGGAGTAACTCTAATTTGAGAAGCTCGAAATTGAAAGAATTCATCAAAGTTTGACTTTTGAGTATTTGACCTCGGATCGGAGTTTTGATAGTTCCGGTAGGTCCGGACGGTAATTTTGGACTTGGGCGTACGCCCGGAATTTCATTTGGATGTTTCTAAAAGGTTTCGGCATCATTTGGCGGAAGTTGGCAGTTTAAAGGTTTAGAATTTTTTCTAAGTTTGACCATGGTTTGACTTTAACGCTATCGGGTCCGGATTGTAATTTCTGAACTTGGAATAAGTCTATTTTGTCATTTGGAACTTGCCTGCAAAATTTGGTATCATTTGGAGTTGATTTGATATGGTTCGGACGCTCGGTTGCGATTCTAGAAGTTCTTGAAGTTCATTGTGATTTTCATGTGTTTTGGCGTTCGATTCGTGATTCTAGAGGTTATTTTGGTGTTCTGATCGCGGGAGCGAGTTCGTGTTATGTTTACAGATTTGTGTGAATATTTGGTTTGGAGCCTCGGGGGCTCGGGTGAGTTTCGGATTAGCTTCAGAGTGTTTTGTTAAGAATTTTGAGTGTTGTTCTGGTTTCATCGCATTTGCGATGTTTTGATCGCAAATGCGACTGCCACATTTGTGAGGTAGTCTTCGCATTTGCGAACCTGGACTGCTAGGGATTGGATCACATTTGCGATGAAAGTGTCGCTTTTGCGAAACCTGAAGAGTTTCGCATTTGCGAACTCTGTATCGTATTTGTGATGAAGGCCTGGTCTATCAGGGGTCGCATTTGCGATGTTTTGTCCGCATTTGCGAACCTCCTGTCGCAAATGCGACATCTGCAACCTGCTAAATGCTGGGCATTCCGAGTTTTAACTTCATTTTTGTTATATTTTGAACTCTAGGTCCAAGAGTGGGCGATTTTGAGAGAGGAATTTCATCTACAATTATTGGGTAAGTACCCCTAATCAATTTTCAATTATACTTTGTGAATATACATTAGATTTAACATCTAATTCATGAGAATATAAAAGAAAATTTAGGAAAAATTGTAAAATCTTTCAAAAATGAAAAATGATGATTTGAAAGACGATTTGGTATTGGAACTTGATAATTTTTATATGGTTGAACTCGTATCGGAATGGGTGTTCGGGTTTTGTAAATTTTATCGGGTTCTGAGGTGCAGACCTGGGGGGTTCACTTTTGTTGACTTTTTGCAAATTGTATAAAGATCATAGCTTTATTAATTGAAGTTGTTTTCTCTTGCATTGTTTGATGTATTTAAGTCGTCTTTGGCTAGATTGAGCCGAACGGAGATGAATTTGTAAAGAAAAAGCTAATTTGAGTATTGATTTGGCCGAATTGAGGTAAGTGTCTTGCCTAACTTTGTGTGGGGAAAACTACCCCTTAGGAATTGAGTAAATTGTGTTATCTTGTTATGTGAAAGTCGTGTACGCAAGGTGACGAGTGGGTACTCGGTCTATATGTGGTATTTGACTGGTTTAGATTGTCTAGTGTCTTCCCATGCCTTTAATTGAATTGTCATAACATGTAGTATCTCGTTGTTAGTCTACTCTTACATGCTTTATCTGACGTTGCTAGCACCAAACTGTACTTTTTGCTCGTTATTTGGCCTTATATGCCTTAGTTAAAGTTATTGACTTCCTTATTGTCTTGTTACCGCTTAATTATTGAGTTTCTTCTATGTCTTGTACTTATTTGCTACATGTCCTAATTATTGTGATTGCATGCTTAGTTATCATGTACCTTACCTGTTCAGGGATTTTGTAAAGTTTGTTGTGTTCCTCCGGTTTCTATGTGATTTCTTCGTTGTTGTGCATTGATTCCCTTGATTGTAGAAATTCTTGTAAATGGAGTTACTGAATTGTTGTTATTGATTTAAATTATTGTAAGGGGGATCGGGTTGCACGCCGCAATAAGTAAAATAAGGGAGGATATTTATATTGTGATATTGCTTTTATATGGTGGGATCGGGTTGTACGCCGCAATAGGTGAAATAAGGGTGAATTGATATAGTGGAATAAGGGTAAATTATGATATTGATATTATATGGTAGAATCGGGTTGCGTGCCACAACATATTTTGTGTATTGGCAACAACAACAACAACAACCCAGTAAAATTTCACTAATGGGGTCTGGGGAGGGTAGTGTGTACGCAGACCTTTTCCCTACCCCGAAGAGATAGAGAGGTTGTTTCCGAAAGACCCTCGGCTCAAGAGGACAAAAAGATAAAATAAGACAATATCAGTATCACCACAGAAATCATAGGAAAAATAGGAACAACATGAAATCCAGAAGAAAGATGCAAAGCAAAAACGAAAAAAAGCAAAAACAAAAACGATAGCTAGTAAATAGGTCTAACATTGAAACGCAAAATAGTAAGATACGACATTGCCACTAGCTAGCTTAGAAAAAAACCCTACCAGGCTAGTCTCACAACGGTACGAAATAAGTCAAGACTCAACTACCTCCTAACCTACAACCCTAATACTCGACCTCCACATCTTCCTATCAAGTGCCATGTCCTCGGAAATCTGAATCATCGCCATGTCCTGCCTGATCACCTCTCCCCAATACTTCTTCGATCGCCCTCTACCTCTTCTCGTGCCCTCCACAACCAGCCGCTCACACCTCCTTATCGGGGTATCTGGACTCCTCCTCTGTACATGCCCGAACCATCTGAGTCTCGCTTCCCGCATCTTGTCATCAATGGGAGCCACGCGCACCTTCTCCCGAATATCAACATTCCTGATATTATCCATCCTAGTGTGCTCGCACATCCACCTCAACATCCTCATTTCTACTACTCTCATCTTCTGGATATGTGAGTTCTTAATAGCCCAACACTCATCCCCATACATCATGGTCGGTCTGTTAGGGATATATTAGATATGCCCTAGATCCAATCTCATATTTGATGATTTGAACATATTTTTGTGAATGTTATTTGATATAAAAATATATAGCATTTGATATTCGTTTATCATAGTTATTATTAATTATTTAATTAATTTAATAAGGTCCTTGATTAAAATCTAAGACTTGTCATAATGATGGAGATCATGATAATGAGAGTAAAGTTTCTTACAATTTAATCTAAATTTTGTTCTTGATCGTAGGATTATTAATTTGGACATTAGTAATCCGGTTAGATCAATATTTATGTGAGCGTCTTTATGGGATAAAGATTAGTTGATCACATTAACTAAATAACATAAATAGATGATGGATATAGAGATATGATCATTGAACCGATTCATTGGATAATTCCTAATGGTTAGAATTATCATAAATTGTCAATAGGATATTCTCTTGAAGAATGTGATGTAAGAGTTTCCTTTGACCTGATATCATCATAGTAATTGACAAGTTATTTATTGTTCTTAGATACTAGACATCTATGGCCCTAGAGCGATAGTTGAAAGGATATTGGGTACGATTAAATACTTGTAGAATTAGTGATTTATCAAGATGGAATCTGTCAACTCATGGTAATGAGTTTAAGCTTCATGTTGTCATAAATTATAACCGACCAAATTAAGACCTTGGCCAGGGCGATTGAATGAAAGAAGAAAAGAGTTTCTTAGGTCATTCAATGATCAATTATTTTTGACATGAACACATAAAGGTGGCATGTGGGCCGGTTAGGACCGGGCCCGGCCTAAGACCGCAAGTCCAAATGAGTAGTGGGCCTAAACGGTTCTAACCGGATAGGACCGGGATCGTGGGGAGGTAGGCTGGGTAATGGGCCGGTCCCATAGGCGAGGCCCGCGAGACCGGGACCGGGACCGGCTGGGAAGTGGGCCGGTTCAAGCAGTCCTAAACGGGCCTATCCGAGCCCAAGGACTAATTTATTTTTAAAAAAATATCTGCCACATTATAGTCTTTATGGCATTTAAAATATGGCCGTTTTACCTGCCAAAATAGCCGTTGGCTATTTATAAATAGGCATTTAACCCCCAACTTTATTTTAACCCCAATTCTTTTATAATTACACTTTTTCTTATATATATATATAGCTTTTATATATATATATATATATATATATATATATATATATATATATATATATATAT